TTAAAACTAACTAGCTGCCGCCATTGTTGGAAACTGAGCTGGGCCGCGCTATGAATTCTGGGATAGGTTGGGCCATGAAGGATACACCCGACCCATCCTTCAAATTTGTTGGCCGCATTTGTTGGAGTCTTCAAATTTGGACCGTCTTCGTCGTGTCGCTGTTACGTAATCGGCCTACAAATGCGGGCACAGGAGGATGCGAATTTGGACACAGCTATGATAACGGACACTGCTGCTTCTTCTTCTTCGGGGTTTAACAGCAGCTGGCATCCTTGGACATGCAGTGCTGCCATCTTCTGTTTCAGTCCGTTATTACACTCTTAAATCCTGCTACTTATTCCTGCGTCTTTTGTGATCTTACAAAGCTTCAAACGACGCGTCGACTATTAAATCAGTCGTCGACGATTTTGATGGTCGACATAATCGTGACTAGTCGACGTAATCGTGGCAGCCCTACTGTGTTTACCTATCTGTGCTCACCTGTCCGTCAGGTGCCCTGTAGCAGAGCAGACGTGTTTGCAAGCCGTCAGCTGTCTGTGGTTGAAAAGAGGAAGTTGATGCGCTTCCTGACTTCCTGTGTGGAGGAGACGGAGGAGCACCAAGGTGAGATGCCTCACCTGTCCACCTGCTGACATCATAAGGTCACTCTTACCAACATCAGATGATTGTGGGTAATGATGCACTTCCTCCCCATCCTCTAGCTTACAACGGTCGGCCATTTTTGGAGTTCCTTCGCGAGCAGCAGCTGGGCGACAACCTGCAGCACTTCCTGCTTCACTCCATTGCCATGGTGACAGAAGACACACTCACCGAGGTGGGGCTCGCCTCCACGCGCCACTTCCTGCGCTGCCTGGGTCGCTACGGCAACACTCCCTTTCTGTTTCCTGTGTACGGACTTGGAGAGATTCCCCAGTGTTTCTGCAGGTAAGAACCAGTATTACAGTACTACTGTCAGTGAGTACTACTGTGCTCAGCTAGCAGGCTACTCTGCACCCTGAGTCGCCCAAAGCTCACCTGTTGCGAGAACTGTTCGAGTTCTGATGTATTGAGTGTGACGTGGACGTGATGAAGCCACCAGAGTGACAAAGGCGGTGAGTAACAGGTTACAGGTAACCAGGTACGTCAGTCAGGTGTCCGTGGAGGATTCGAGGCGAGGATCTGAGTCTCGGCTGTGTTCTTTATTCTTCTGCAGGAGCAGCTCTGCATGATTCATGGGTCATAATAATCTTTCTTTGTCTGATGCTGGGCCTCTGTGCAGCTGCTTTAGCCCACTTCATTCTAATTGGACAGCTTCTGGAAGCCTGCAGAGGGGCAGCAGCCTGTGCTTGGTGGTTCATGAGCTGATTTTACTTGTGTGATTATTTTAGTTTCATTTTTTTTTTCCAGATGGAAACAGATGCTGAGCGGGCTCAGAAAAAGGTCAAAGGTCATGTGACAGATGGTAAATGGCCTGTATTTATATAGCGCTTTACTAGTCCCTAAGGACCCCAAAGCGCTTTACATATCCAGTCACACACACATTCACACACAGGTGATGGCAGCTACATTGTAGCCACACCCACCCTGGGGCGCACTGACAGAGGCGAGGCTGCCGGACACTGGCGCCACCGGGCCCTCTGACCACCACCAGTAGGCAACGGGTGAAGTGTCT